CGCTACGGCGAGAGAGAGAGAGAGAGAGAGAGAGAGAGAGAGAGAGAGAGAGAGAGAGAGAGAGAGAGAGAGAGAGAGAGATGAGCGATACAAGTTTGGCTGTTACGTACCTGTGAAGCGGACTGTGCAGTCCCACGCGGAGGAAGAAGAAGCGGCCATAGCCGCAGTGCAACATCACGGAGTAACGAAGAAGGAGAGAGACCGGACAGACGGGGAGGGACCGAGAAGGGAGAGAAAGCGGCCATAGCCGAGAGGTGAAGAGAAGGCCGATTAAAAAAAAGAAAAAAAGAAAAAAAAGAAAGGAGAAGAAGAAGACAGCCGGGGTGAAAGGAGGCGAGGAAGGTGAAGGGAAGAAGAGGGTGGCGAGGAAAAGGAGCCGGCAGCCATAGCTGACCGAAGGGTTGACCGGGAGAGTTGACCGGAGGCGTTCACCGGAGTTGACCGGGGGTTGACCGCAGCGTTGACCGGCGTTGACCAAGACTTTGACCAAGCTGGAGTTGGTAACATCTCGCCAAGCCCTCAGCCTATCCCTCGCCCTATGGATGTGCACACACCCCTTGGCACTTGCTGAGTCCAGTCTGTCTGTCTATTCTTTCTGCATCGAGTCTCTTCTGTCCTAGGTGATAGTACTCTGTGGATGAAGGATAGGGCCTGGATGACGAAACCCCTACCTGACTTAGTAGAGCTGATACCGTGTCTAATCTCACTGTCCCGGAGGCCTAACCCTCCCAAGGACCGGTGCTGACCGACGGGGCTTGGATTGGGCGTGACACAGTGGGCTTGAACGGCGGAGTTGTGGGCTGACACAACAGGCAGTCTTAAGTGTTGAGGGCCTTGTTGACCCAAACCGCTACCGGACCTAGTAAGGCTAAAGGCCGTGTCTGACGACTCGACTGTCCCGGAGGTCAAACCCTCCCAAGGACCGGTACTGACCGGCGGGCTGCTCGGTGTGGCATGGTAGGCCCGAAAGGCTGAGTTGTGGGCTGATGCAACAGGCCAGACCAAGCTGATCACGTCGTCCTGTCTGCGACGTTAAATAATTCCTGCGGAGTTGGGGGGATCTCCTTAAATGCCGCCTGATCAGCAACAGGTCTAGTAGTGACAGCCATAGTGTAGGTCTAGGCTAGAGACCATAGTTGGAAGGATCCCTGTCCGGATTTTGTGAGTCTTAGATTGAGTCTATAGGTTTATCAGTCAGGGGCTAGTGTCTACGTGGTGAGGGAGTGGAATCATTCTGATTGTGCACCTATGGTTGAGACCCGCAGTGGGAAAGACACTAGCCCCTACACCAAGGAGCAGCAAGAAAAGATGGTCGCCTTAGTTAAAGAGAATAGGGAGAGAAAAGAGCGCGAGAAGCAAGCGAAGTTAAAAGCGATTGCAGAGGAACAGGCGGCGAAGATGAAGGAATTGGAGGAGGAGATGGGGAAAAAGAAGAAGGCTGCTGAAGAAGAAGCGGCAGCAGAAGAAGAAAAAGAGAGGATGAGAATTGAGAGTGGAGAAGGGAGCAGTGGTGGCATGATGAAGAGGGATATAGATGATGAGATTGAGAAGAAGATAAGCGAGTGGGTCGCTAATTTATCGTTGGGAGAAGACGAGGAGGCGGATTCCTATGTAACTGAGGAAGAGAGGGATGCGCTAGCCAGTGAGCTAGCAGCAATGACAGATCCAATGGAACGGCGAGAAAGGGAGGAAGAGCAGAAGTTGGAATGGAAGCTGAGGATGAAGAGGGAGAAGAAGAGGAGGAGAGAGGAAGTGAACAAAATGACCGCAGAGGTAGCAAAGGTGCAGGAGTGCAGGTAGGAAGTGTTGGCCCAACCCGATGACAAGGCCAAGTGGGACAAGGTGTTGGGTTACCTGGAAGTGTTGAGCAAGGCCTGGATGGAGGAGCGCCAGGCCAGTTGGAGCCAAGACGTAGCGTTGAGTGCCATGCGGTCGGGGTTCAGAGACTTTGCGTGTGAAATCGTCACCCATATTGGGGGCGAAGTGAGGCAACTGAGGGACAATGTAGGAAAGTTTTGTGAGGGCGCTATCGAGGGCGCCAAAGCCATAGCCGCTGTAGAGGGTGAGGTCAGACCCCGTAAGGAGCCTGTAAAGCTCAAGTTCCCAGACGCGTACGGGGGGAAGAAGGAGAAGAACTTTGACAACTGGGAGGCCAGTGTCAACAATTACATTTATTTGCAGCATATCCTAACTGAGGAACAAGTCCTCGTGGCCTTTCAGGCCCTCAAGGATGAGGCGGCTAGTTTTGCTAGGTCCCTTGCGCATGCAGCCGGTTGTGAGAACAACCTGGTTGCTTAGTCCAAAGTCACCCCCCTTTCTCAATTCCTCAAGCTCCTGAAGGAGCGGTTCGCTGACCCAACGAGAGGTGTTCACGCCTCTGACAAGTTGCAGACAATCCACTCACGACGGTGGAGGAGTGCAAGAGCACTCAAGGGTACTATGGATGACTTGGTAGCCGTCCCAGACCATGGGGTCACTGAGACCCAATTGGTCCAGTTATTTTATCGTGCTATGCCAGAGGCCCTACGTGGGCATTTCTTTGACAAGTCTCAACAGGCCGGCATCACTTACGATGCGTTGAGTAGAGAAGTCGTCCTGTATGAGTCAAAGTCCATGCCAGTTACCACTTTCTGGCACAGGGACTTAGATAAGGGGAAGAAGTGGAAGGGTCGTACCATCTCAGGCCAGGTAAGAGCCAAGGATCACATGATCCTTACTTTAGAAGAAGGTGGTACTGATGAGGTCCCATATAGTCAAATTGAGTGGGGCCTAGAGGAGGACAGTAGTGTGGGACAGGGGAGGTCTTATGCTGCTGTCGCGGCTGGAGGGAGGCCGCAAGGTAGAGGAGGAGGCCAGGGCCAAAAGGGCCAGGCCATGGGAGGCCGTGGACCGGGCGCACAGGGGGTTGGCGGCCAAGGAAACCACCAAGTGGGAGGTAGGGGTCAAGGTCCCCCGTCAAATCGTCAAGGTTCATTTTCGTCCCCACAGCGACGAGGTGGAAGGCCACCTCAAGGAGGATGGCACCCAGGCTTGCCACAGGGCAGGCCCTGGAAGGACTTGGGCTTGGACCAGCGTTTATGGCAAGAAAGCGTAGACCAGGGTCAGTGCATATTTTGTGGTGACCCGGCCCACGTAATTAAATTTTGTCCAAAGTATAGACAGGCCCATTGGGCTGCTCAGCAGTCAAAAGGCAGCCGCTAGTAGGGGTCGCAACTGCCCCTAATTCAAGGCCATGTGGAGAAGTGAGCGCGCGCGAACAGGACACTCCCAACCCACATGAGCCTATGGCAGAGGTTGCAGGCCCGTGCCTAGCTAGCTGTCCAGAGACTGCTTGTGTTAGCATCTCTTTAGGCACGTCCCTCACAGGTGTGGCAGAAGAGTTAAAGGAGAGGATGCCAGCCTGGGCCAAGATGAAGAAAGAGAGTAAAGGACAACTGATCTTAGTAGATGTAGAAGTTTTCAGGAATAGAGTAGGGGCCCTTATAGACTCAGGGGATATCCGCAGTTATATTAGCCGCAGAGCACTGAAAAAGTTAAGGCTAGGATTAAAAGTCCAAAAGTTAGCAGACCCCATAGTTAGTGTCCTTGCAGACAACCGCACTATGCGTGTTGAGGACTATGTAGAGGGAGTCCAAGCGTACTTTCGCCTAGAGAAGGATGGGAAAGTGGAGAAGGTCTCCATTCCCTGACTCTCCTCATACAGGATGACCTTCCTTTCGACATAGTGCTAGGAATGGATTGGGAAGAGGCAGCAGGGGCCACACTCCATTTGAGAGAGCATGAATGTAGGCTCCCTAGTCCATCAGGCGAGGTTAAGACTGCCCGCCTATTTCATGTGTCAGGTGTAGACAACACCTTGGCACATTGCTGTCTCAGTGCTCCTGCGTTCGCGCGATTAGTGAAAAAGGAGCAGTTAGAGGACCAGGTCTTTGTAGTTTATGTCAGACCTGTCACTGAGGCTAAGGAAGAAGTGAGTTCCACAGATCCAACCATAGCCAAGCTGTTGGAAGAGTTCAGAGACTTAACTGAGTCGCCGACAGGAGTAGTGCCGCGACCCATCCAGCACAGGATAGAAATAGAGCCTGGCAGTAGAACTCCTAAGGGAGCAGTCTACAGGATGTCCCCTAGAGAGTTAGAGGAACTGCGCAAGCAGTTAGACGAACTCCTTGAGAAAGGTTGGATCAGGCCCAGTTCGTCTCCTTTTGGAGCACCTGTCCTGTTTGTCCCCAAGAAGGAAGGAGAGCTTAGAATGTGTATAGACTATAGGGGTTTGAATGCGATTACTGTAAAGAATGCTGAGTCGCTGCCCAGGATAGACGATCTCTTAGATCGGGTGCAAGGTTGTAAGTATTTCTCCAAGATAGACTTGAAGTCCGGTTATCATCAGACAGAGGTCCATCCTGATGACCAGTACAAGACTGCATTCCGGACTAGATACGGGCATTATGAGTTCATAGTGATGCCCTTTGGACTAACCAACGCGCCAGCGACGTTTCAGTGTTGTATGAATGATTTGTTCAGACCATGGTTAGATAAGTTTGTAGTAGTTTATCTAGATGATATCCTAGTCTTTAGTAAGACCCTCCAGGAGCATCAGGGTCATCTGAGGCAGGTCTTGGAGAAGCTACGAGAGGCTAACTTCAAGATCAACGCAAAGAAGTGTGGGTGGGCCAAGACACAAGTCCTGTACTTGGGCCACATATTAGACGGAGATGGCATTAAGCCAGAGGACAGCAAGATCATGGCGATTAGAGATTGGCCGACGCCCCGCACGTTGACAGAGTTGCGGTCGTTCTTAGGCCTAGATAATTATTATAGAAAGTTCGTGAGGAACTTCTCCACTATCGCCGCTCCCTTGCGTAGGTTGCTAAAGAAAGAAGCAATCTGGCAATGGGACAAAGACTGTACGTCTGCGCTCAAGAAGTTAAAGCGCGCGTTAATAGAGTATCCTGTCCTCGAAGTAGCTGATCCGTCCTTGCCATTTGTCGTCGCCACGGCCGCAAGCAAGTATGGGATAGGCGTCGTGTTGCAGCAGGATGACGGCCATGGCTATAGACCCGTAGAGTTCATGTCCACGAGGATGCCCTCAGAGAAGGTAGCCACCTCGACGTACGAGAGAGAACTCTACGCTCTCAGGCAAGCTCTAGACCATTGGAAGCACTACCTGCTTGGGAGGCACTTCAAAGTGTACTCTGACCATGAGACCCTTAGATGGTTAAAGACCCAGGCCAAGATGACACCTAAGCTGACTAGGTGGGCCGCTGAAATAGACCAGTATGACTTTGAGCTCAAACCAGTAAAGGGCAAGTACAACGTCGTTGCGGACGCTCTGAGTAGGAGATAAGACTACTTTGGGGCCATAGTACACTATCTGGATATAGGGAGAGACCTGCAGGAGAAGGTAAAGCAAGCGTATGCGCAGGACCCTATCTATAGCGACCTCCTAAAGAGAGTTAGAGAGGCCTTAAAGACTGAACCAGATTACCGCACTACAAACGGGTTGCTATTTAAGAAGACTAATGTGTTTGACCGCCTGTGCGTTCCCAATAACGAAGAGATTCGTAGTTTGATCCTTGGGGAATGCCACGATATCGAAGGACATTTCGGTTGGCAAAAGACCTTAGCCAACCTGATGCGTGCGTACACCTGGCCAGGAATGAAGAATGACTGGATAGAGTATGTCCGCAGTTGCAAAGTATGCCAGCGTAATAAGACTACTACACGCGCGCCCCTAGGTCTTCTCAGACCCTTGCCTATTCCGGATCAACCGGGAGACTTAGTGTCCATAGACTTCATGGACACCCAAGTCAAGAGTAGACATGGTAAGAGCCAAGTCATGGTCATAGTTGACCGATTTAGTAAGTACGCAGTTTTTGTTCCTTTGCCTGCAGAGGCACGTACAGACTTAGTTATACACAAGTTCTTTGACTTTTGGGTTAGTGAGAATGGAATCCCATTGTCAATAGTTAGCGATAGAGATAGTCGTTTCACCAGCCAGAACTGGCAAGAGCTCATGAGAGTCTACGGATCTAAGTTGTTGATGTCGTCTGGCCGCCATCCGGAGACTAACGGTCAGACTGAGCAGATGAACAAGATCCTGCAGCAAGTTCTGCGCATGTACATTAGACCAGATCAGATCAACTGGGATGAGATGTTGCCTAAGGTAGCTAGTGCATACAACAACAGCGTGCATCTATCCACCTGCTGTACTCCCAATAACTGCACAAGTCTTTTAGACCTCGCAGACCGTTCGAAGGACTGAACCGGGATCAGGTTCACAGATTACCGCCCGGTACCAGGGAGTTCGCGATAAAACACGAGAAAGAATTAGCAACTGTTGTTGAGAACCTCAGGAAGGCCCAACACAGAATGATAGAACAGGCTAATAAGCATCGTCGCCCGTCACAATTTCAGGTAGGCGACTTAGTTTGTGTCAAGGCTAAAGAGTTTGCACCTGAGGAGAACATCTCGCAGAAGTTACTGCCTGCGTATAGAGGACCGTGGCCGGTTCTAGAAGTTAAGGGCGGAGAAGATGGACCGTCCTACACTATAGAGATTCCATTACACCTCCACACATATCCTGTGTTCCACGCTTCAAAGCTGTTGCCGTGTGTCACAAGTCAACAGTTCCCTTCAAGACGATCTATGATTCCTCCGGATATGGACGGAAGTTATGATATTGAAGGTATTGTAGACGAGGATGTGTTTAGAACAGGAGGTAGAGGTCGTCCCCAGAAGCAGTATAAGGTCCGGTTTGCCTATCAGGAACCGGAAGACGACCGCTGGTTCACAAGAACAGAACTTCTAGAGACAGCTCCCGACATAGTCAGAGCCTATGAGCATGACAGGAAAGGTAAAGGTCCCGCCTTGGACTAAGATGTTCTCGGAGGACCTTGAATTTAGGACGGCGGGAGTGAAACGGTTTTCACCTTTCAGCAGTAGCAGATGCAGTACCCAGGGTTCGATCCCTAGACCTCACCCTGCCCATGTACAGTATCCGTGTAGACCCCGAGAGTTGAACCTGTGACCTGTGGATTCGTGTACAGTTGGTAGGTCTGTCGTAGGTCCATAGGCAGCAGGGGTTCGATCTGTAGACCTATAGAGTAGAAGTCTTAGCGAGTCCCAGAACCTTAGCTGTAGTCCTTCTAGAAGGTAGGCAAGTGGTCAAGTGGTCAAGTGGCGAGGCAAGTGGTGGACTAAACTGCAGTGCAATCGCAATACGACAACGGTGGGATAGCAGTGAGTCCACAGTCAGTCGACGGTAAGGTCCAGTCAGTCCCAGTCCGGTCCAGCAAGTACCACGGGGGACTGTGAGCACCATGGGCCGATGGCAAAGGGCAGACCAATGAGTTTCCAAAGTATAAATCAAGAGGCAGCGCCCAGCCATTCATTCATTCCTGCGTGAGCCATGCGGAAGCGCTATCTTAGCGACTTGTGCAAGGAGGTCTGCAGTGAGCCTGGAGGACGCAGTGGGCGAGAGAGAAGGAGCTTAGTATAGCGATAGGGTAGAGGCAGCCATAGCTGCCATAGCTGTAGTTAGTGTGAAGTGTGTATGTGTATGCGCGAGTGTTCAGAGTTACACGTGTGGGATATCCAGGGTGATCCGATGTGTGTGAGCAGTGAGTTGTTGGGGCGCTGAGACGCCATAGCCAATTGAAAGTGAACCCGTATCTGGAGGCCATATCTTTTGAGTGGGCGCATGTCGCCAGTTTGCTGCGTTGCTGTTTACATGCATGAAAAGTGTGAATGAGTACCAGTCTGATTGCACCATGCAGGTACCAAAAGGAAAAGTCAAGTCCCAAAGTCCAATTTTGCAACAGCGTCCCAAGAAGGTCCGTAGACTTCTGGAACAACACAACATGCAGCAGAGGCCGTGGGGGACTGGTAGCAGNCAACACAACATGCAGCAGAGGCCGTGGGGGACTGGTAGCAGGTCCAAAGCAGGCAGAACATGTCAACAGACATTATTTATAGCTGCTACAGTACCTAAGCGGTTCACCTCCCAGCACTAGGGAATTCACTGTTCACTACGAGAAGGACCTACAACGAGTTGTTGAGAATATCTGGAAAGCTCAGCATTAGATGGTAGAGCATGCCAACAAGCATCGTAGCCCGTCACAATGCTGTTGGAGACTTAGTTTGGGTAAAGTCTAAGGAGTTCTTACCTGAAGAAGGAATCTCGCAGAAGCTCCTACCCACATACCGAGGACCGCGGGAAGTCCTCAATTTGATTGGTGACCCGGATGGTCCCTCTGCATAATCGACATACCGATACATCTGTGCACATACCCGACCTTTCATGCTTCTAAGTTACTACCTTGTGGAGTAAACGATCGGTTTCCCTCACACAAATTTATGATTCCACCCGACATGGATGGCAGATACGACATTGACAGAATTGTAGAGGAAGACTTCTATAGGTCAAGTCAAAGAGGCAGACCCCAGCGTCAATACAAGATCCACTTTGCTTATCAGGAGCCCGAAGACAACTGCTCGTATACTGAGGATGAGCTGATGGAAACCGCCCCACATATAGTATCCTACTACGGACGAGCAAGGAAGGGTATCAATGTCATTGATCAGTAAAGATAAGATCTTTCTCGGAGGACCTCGAAATTAAGCTGGTGGGAGTGAAGGATTTCATGCCACATCAGTTCCCTGAGTCCCGGTACCAGTGTCCCAATTGGGCCCGCCCCAGATGGTCCCAGGCTCGCTAGGTTATTGTAGGTCAAGTCCCAGGGTCAGTAGAGTCCCGTAGCGGTCCGTAGGCCGAAACGTCGCAGTCCGGTAGAGTCGGGTACTGAAGCGTCATTGGCCGGTAATAGTCTGCAGGTACCATGCAGGTACCAAAAGGAAAAGTCAACTCCCAAAGTCCAATTTTGCAACAGCGTCCCAAGAAGGTCCGTAGACTTCTGGAACAACACAACATGCAGCAGAGGCCGTGGGGGACTGGTAGCAG